TAAAATGCTCGATCCCCACAGCTATTCTAAGTGAATAGTGTGACTCAGGTCTTGGTCTCCATGTTCCTGAGTTGCAGACAGAGTCACAGAGGCACAGTGCAACATCAGACATGCCTGGATCCCTGAAACAGAGATGACCTACAGGGTCTCTACAGAGGTCTGCCTAGAATTCCAAAATCAAACTTGCAATAATCTGACTCTCTATCTTAGTATTTCCCTGGTGGGAAATATGTATCCTAACAAGCAGGCCTTGTGTAAATACCCATTCCTGAGCATATATGGTATCCACAAATATCCACATATATATGTATATGTATATGTATATGTATATGTATATGTATATGTATATGTATATGTATATGTATATGTATATGTATATGTATATGTATATGTATATGTATATGTATATGTATATGTATATGTATATGTATATGTATATGTATATGTATATGTATATGTATATGTATATGTATATGTATATGTATATGTATATGTATATGTATATGTATATGTATATGTATATGTATATGTATATGTATATGTATATGTATATGTATATGTATATTTATATACTCCAAGATCTATATTTTCGTATAAAAGACGCATACAGAGACATGACTAGGAGTGTGTGGGGGAAGGGTACATAAAGTTTACTTTTCCATGATTTTGAACATATATGTGTGGCACAGGATTTCACTGGAACATTCCAAATAGCGTACACAAACCTCTAGATAATGGACACACAAACACAGGCATTTGCAGTTAGATGGCAAATTGAATCTCCTCTTTATGTGGTGGGGAATTTCAGAGTCACTTGGCAAACTCAAAACTCAGAATCTCCGGGAAGCAGGAGGGGAGGGAAAGAGGTGGGAAAGATATTTCCCTAGACTCTCTAGTTATCTCAACCCCTCAGGCAAACCGACTTTGAAAAAGCAGCCGAGGTGAAGAGACCAGAACCAGATCTCTGAAGAGAAAGAGACTGGAAGGGTATCTAGACAGTGAGAGGGGGAATGATATTTCTTTAAACTTTAAATAGCCCCCCTTTTTTTCTCCCTTCATGCAATCCAGTCTCCATTTCTGCGGATCCCTCAGTTGATGGGGAACTGTAGAGGCTACAGACCTACCTTATTCCCTTTTCTCCTCTTTATTCCAAATTTTAAAATTCAGTTGATGAATAGAGAGGGCTGACCCCAGAGCTTAGCCCGGATCGGCTAAGCTATGCAAGTTGGAGTAGGCTGAGTTGAGCTTCGATGAGGCTGGGGGTTCTGTTTTCGTGAGGAAGATCACGTCTTACTCTAGGTTTCTTGCTGAAGTCGAGATGTAATTACTCCGGCCCTGATGGTCCATTTTTTCCTCCTTCCTGGAGTTTTTTAATTTGGTTTTTTTTTTTTTAAATCTCAATGAGAGCCACATTTTGAGAGACTGGGGTTTGAGGAATGTTGCGGAAGAAGGGAGGAGACACTTTCCAGTTAATTAACACTAGAACATTTCCTCCGATACTAGCTCTGTAGCCTTCTCTGTGGGGTTGATTCTTTTTTCACTCCGCTCCCCCCAGGGCCAACAAGTTAGGGCTTTTTGAAACAGGATTGGTGAGGGGAGCCTATGGGTCTGGAGCAACCGGTCCAGACAAAGCAGATTTGTTCCCAATTCCCTTCTGTGTCCCCTGGACCTCCCCAAGCGGTGTAGGAGGCCTAGTTCTTCACTCTGTCTTCCGGGAGAACCGGGACTTTGGTTGCCTCTCTCCTTTCTCCCACGTCTAGCTGCTAAATTTCGGCCCGCATCGTGCCCCTAATAAACGGAATTGTAAAATGCCCGACTTAATTAAATCTATATCTCATTGCAATAGGAATAGCTAATGTCCTCACATAAACCTAGAAAAGAACATACTATTAATTTTATTTATTGCAGGACTACCTTGCTCTAGGAGCCTTTCAGTGCGCTGACCCGGGAGCCCCGTTGGGGAAATAGATGGGATTGCTTCTGAAAACCCCTAAAGAGTATGGAGATCTAGGGAACCTGGGCTCTACCATTAGGGCTCTGATTCGGCCTTGGTGTCCTATTGAGACAAGTCAGCTCGGGCCAGGGTCCCCAGATCTGAAAGCCAAGGAGGAGCTAGGGGTGCATGGATTAGTTTAGGGTTTAGGGTCCTTTGTTCCTTCAGGCCCACAGAGTCAAGGAAATGGGTGTCTGAATTGGGACCAGCACTGGGATGGAGGAGGTGCAAGGGGGAGTGTCTCTTTGCCCACCTCCCTAGCTGGAGGCTAAACTGTGGCCCTCCGAGGCTCGCGGAAGAGGCAGCTCTGCTCTCCAGGAAGACCCTGGAAGCGAAGGTCACAAGTCTCTGTCTAGACCCAGATGGATTTTACCTTGACCTTGGACTCGGGCTGTTTGGGGCCGGACAATTCCCTGAAGGAAGCAAACCCAGCTTTTTTCTCAATTCAACTTCCCCGATCTGCCTTCCTCTTGCTATCGTTATCCCCACACAATTTTCCGTGGATCTCTATGGGCCCCCTTCCCCCAAACATACTTTATTTTGCTTTTACTGACTAGCTCCTAAATAGCCGCTGTCTTGTCTCAGAGATGACTTCTCCCAAAGACAAAGATGATATTTAAAAGTTTCTGCTGAAGAAGACCCCACAGGAACACACACACACACACACACACACACACACACACACACACACACACACTTTCTGAGCCAAACTAACCCTCTCTTTCAGGGCCCCGAATAAGCCACTTAGTAGTTGAAAGAGCGGCGGCAGAAGGATTCCTCTACTGTTCAGCAAGAGTTGGGAACCTGGGAACGAAAACCTCTGGACCATCTCTGCACTCGGTGGCTGCGGACCCAGAGTTTAAAAGCACATGGCTTGGGACTGGGGACTGAGGGCCGGGGAGGGAGGAAGAAAAGAAGGGAGACCGCGAAGATTGTACAGGAGGAGCTGTTCCCCATCTTTCCCCAGCCCTTGGTTTTTCCCCTTTGCTTTCCCATTTCGTCTCTTTACAGATCAGCTCGGGACATCCAGGAAGAGAAGCAGCGCTGTCCAAGATGGGGAAGCGGCTATCGGGAGACGCTGGGTACCCGGGGTTTCATGGGAGGGGAGTAGACTGGGATCGGAAAGCCGAACCCAGACTGAAGAGCCCCAGCTACCAAGCTTTAAGGCACAGGCCCCCCCCCCTTTAAGTGAGAAGGCGGCCTTTTTTTCTTAAAAATAAAAACCCAGTGTTTTCGCCTGGTCATTCTTATGCTAGAAATATGATGGTGGTTGAATTTGAAGGTGCCATCCTCCACGGCCTTCCCCCTACTTCGCCCTCTAAAATTTTTGACACCGATGTACTTCCGAGCTGGAAATTTAGCCATCCCTACCGGCTTCCCTTCTCCTCCCGAGCATGCCCTTCCAGGCTCCTCGGCGCCGCCGCCCCAAGCTCTGCACCCACCTACGGTTCTGTCCCCCATTCAGCGCTTCCACCAGGGGGTGGTCAGACTCTCGGGAGGGGTCCTTAGCACCCCTGGGACACAGAGAAGGGAAAAGGGAGAGGACAAAGATGGGAGGCATTTGCCTCCTGGGAACGAACCAGTAGAGCCCTCAGATTGAGGTTAATGCCAGAGTACTAGACAAAAAGGAACGCGAAAGAAGTGAGGCAAAGACCTATTCGCCTCTTTCCCCCACCCTATTTCTCCCCATCTCTTCGGTGCGAGCGTACCTGAGCCGAAGCTTAATTCTGGCTTGGACCATGGTTTTTCTAACACTGATTGTTACCTCTCATCTCCATTTCTGTATCTCAGTTAATTTCTATTCCTATTTTAAATTCCATTTCTAATTCTCTTATTTCTGTTGTGGTTAAATAGTCTCCATTTCTAGTCTTTCTCTCTGTCCCGTCCCCCTTTCTCTTTTATTTTCTTTCACTCCTAGAATCACTATGGCTTTCCCTCCGGCAATGGTGTGGAGGGAGGCCGGGTGGAGTACAGGGGACTCTAGTCTGTTTCTCACAGGGTCCCCCTCCCCTTGGCGTTGAGAAGCCTGGGCAGGAGACAAGCGATGGGCAGGGGGCAGGAGAGTGATTCCCCTATCCCTAGGGCGGCCTCGTAGGGATGAGAGGTTCGACTGCAGGAGACTCGGGGAGATGGTCTGTAATGGAAACAGCTCTATCATCAAAGCCTCTCGGATCAGAGTCTGACTCCTTCCAGCTGGGAGCTACAGGGGAGCTAGTTCTGCTTGGCTGGGAGCAGAAATACTACCCCCCACACACACACACTCCCACCACCACCACTACCACCACCGTCACTCCACTCTTTTATTCTGTTTGACCAATTTTTAAAATTCTCTTTTCTCCCACATACCCCGACACCTAATCCTTGATTTCTGCAGTCTCCGTAGCCTCCATTTACCGGGAAAGGGTGGTGGGGTGGTGGGAGAGAAATGGGAGGAAGAGAGGTGTAAATCGCCCCCCATACCTACACCCCCCATTCTTGGGTTCCCCTGGGGGAGCCACGGAAACCAGCCCCTCCTTCCCCTTAGCGTCGACCAAATAGTGCCCGCTCCCCTCTGCTCCCCATCGTGCCCCCCTTTTTCCAGGCCCTCCAAGGGGCGTAGCCCCAGTTCTTTAAATCTCCCCACCCACCCCCTTCCGCGAGCCAATCAGCACCAGGCTGTACCTTTCCCCCGCCCTCCCCTCGAATGGGGCGGAGAACCCAGGAGACCAGGACTGGGTGTCACGTGCGAGGACGAAGTCACGTGGTAGGAGGCAGGGAGGGGAAGGGGAGTCTTTTCGTGCGAGCGTATTTCTTAATGAAGAGGGGGAAGGAAGGTGAGGCGCATGCGCCCGGGCCTAGTAAGGGAGAGGGGGGAGAGGAGGGAGGAGAGGAGAAGGAGGGGGAGGAGGGAGGAGGGAGGAGAGAGGAGGGGGGAGGGAAAAAGGGGAGCGAGGTGTCTCCCTCTTTCTCTCCTTCGCTCTCTCCCTCTGGCAAGTGGAGTTTTTAAAAAGCTCGAGCAGATCATGTCATGACGACTTCGCTGCTCCTGCACCCGCGCTGGCCGGAGAGCCTTATGTACGTCTATGAGGACAGTTCGGCTGAGAACAGCGGAGGAGGAGGCGGCGCCGGCGGCGGAGGAGGCGAGGGAGGTGGAGGAGGCGGCGGCAGCTGCGGAGGAGGAGGCGGCGGCGGCGGAGGAGGGGGGGGAAGCTGCAGCGGAGCCAGCCCCGGCAAAGCCCCGATCATGGACGGACTGGGCGGCAGCTGCCCCTCCAGCCACTGCCGGGACCTGCTCACCCACCCGGTTCTGGGCCGGCCCCCGGCTCCCCTGGGCGCTCCGCAGGGCGCCGTCTACACGGACATCCCCGCCCCAGAGGCGGCCCGCCAATGCCCCCCGCCGCCAGCGCCCCCCACCTCGTCCAGCGCTACCCTAGGCTACGGCTACCCTTTCGGGGGCAGCTACTACGGCTGCCGCCTATCCCACAACGTGAACTTGCAGCAGAAGCCCTGCGCCTACCACCCCGGGGACAAGTATCCCGAGCCGTCGGGGGCCTTGCCGGGAGATGATTTATCCTCCAGGGCCAAGGAGTTCGCCTTTTACCCCAGCTTTGCCAGCTCCTACCAAGCGATGCCTGGCTACTTGGACGTGTCCGTGGTGCCGGGCATCAGCGGGCACCCCGAGCCCCGCCACGACGCCCTCATCCCCGTCGAGGGTTACCAGCATTGGGCGCTCTCCAACGGCTGGGACAGTCAGGTGTATTGCTCCAAGGAGCAGTCGCAGTCAGCCCACCTCTGGAAGTCTCCTTTTCCAGGTAAGGGGCTTTTCTTGAGTGACACAACCCCATCCTCATCGCCATTTCCCGCCTCCTACCCCTAACCCCCCCTCCACACACACCCTGGGGCTCCGCACCCCAGCCACCCCCGCTGTCTGGCCCCGGCGCGCCCGGCTGCTGAGGGAGCCGGCCGGGCGAGCTGGGTTGAGGAATGCGCCGCTGAAGGAAATCTGCTCCGACACGTTCTCTTGCGCTGACCCGCCGAAAGTGAAGCAATAGCAGGCGCCCGAGCGCCTGGCTCCCCGGGCTTCCAGCGCCCAGGGAGTACCGGCTCCGGCGCCCTTCACACTCCCAGGCCCAGACACACAATTGGCCTGATTCATAAAGCCAAAAACCAAAACAAACAACAACAAACGAAAGAAAGAAAGAAAGAAAGAAAGAAAGAAAGAAAGAAAGAAAGAAAGAAAGAAAGAAAGAAAGAAAGAAAGAAAGAAAGAAAGAAAGAAAATGCTATGCAGGATTTTAAAACATGCTCCGCTAGCCGAATTGCCCAGGTATTTCGGACACTATTGAGGTTCTTTAAAGACCCTGAATTAGTCAGATGGGTTGGATACATTTTAGCCATAGGACTTTTTTACCCCTTAATTATTGTGGTTGTTGGGGACCGTGTAACTCTAACACCCTTGAGTGTCAGGAAGATTAGTTCCTTTTCTAATTTTTGGAACTCAAATCTGGTTAACTTTCTCTCGTTAAAACAACAACAAAAACGGGGGTAGCATCCCTGAACCCCTTGATCCAAGAAATATGGAGATCGTTTTGGGGAGGGTACCCACAGCATCGAGAGGCATAGATGGTAACTAGAAGGAACTAGAAGAGCAGATCCATAGGCTGGGGGGGGGTGAGGTGGGTGGAGAGGGAAAAAAATAGTGTGTCTCCATGTGTATGGGAGGAGAGGAGATGGAAAGACGTGGATCTTCTGTCACCTCCTTCACTGTGCTTTTGGGTGCATTCATTTTCCACCTGGGGGAGACCAAAATCGATGCTTCTAGAGAAAGGAATCATTTGGTAGTCCCTGTCCCCCACCACATAGGAAGAAAATTAGAGTGGAGAGATTTGGGTATGGGGATGTCTCCCAATAGAGGAGATTCAGGCTTAACTTAAAGAGTGAAAGGCAGACCTGGGAACCTCAAGGGTCGGATGAAAACCTGTCTTCGTTTGCATATCTTCCTTCGTCCTCTTAGCTTCTCCTATGCCAAGAAAGAGAAGTCGGAGGGACTAACGTGAGAGAGCTACAGGACCACTATATACCCTTATTGAAGACTCTGGGGGTTGGGGGTTGGGGGGGGTCAGCCTAGAGCAGGCTACAACCACTCTCCCTCTGGGATCACTGTCTGTGATCTCCTGTGCTAGAGGTGCAGAATGAAGAATAAAAGATCTCTCTAGGGTTGGGCCTGAGAATCCTTGGTATACGGGATTGGAAGATGAGTTTGATATTGTAGAAACACAAATAGAACTACACACAATGGACCACACAGATTCAATCTCATTTTTAGTTCTATTATAGGAGAGAGGAATCCTGCTGGACAGACTACACACAGCATCAATTTCCAGGGACATAGTCCTAGATTAAACACATACATACATTTGGATGTGTGTCTCAATAATTCTCCATCTGCAGCTCCTGATCCTTCTATCATCTAGTCAAATGGAGCTTTTCTGGAAATCAACTCCCAACAAGGAAAACGTGTGGAAGGGGACCTCCTTGTGCCCTCTAGGAACAGGCCATAGTAAGGGGCACTATGCTACCCTCTCTCAAAGACTGGACAGCAGGCAGAGGATTGGAACTGGTAAGGCAAAGGCATTAGAGATAGCTTAAGGGGACTAAGGGGCCTAGGGAGATGTGGAACCTTGGAGTTGCCCAGAGTAATCTGTGCAGAGGAAGAGCTCTGAAATATCTTCCTTCCAATGAGTCACCTCTTAGCCTAGCCTTCTAAAGGAAAACTAATAGAGCTTTAAAATAAAAATAAAAAACTAAGCTAAATTAAGACAATCCTGGGAGATTTACTAAATGTACAATGTATAATATATAATGTAAAATTCAGTGTCTCAACAGTTACATCTGTATATATTATATGTGTATATATTATATACACATCACTATATACACACACATGTGCCTTGTGCACTTCTATACATATGGATGTGATGAATTAGTACAGAGAGATAAAGTATATTAAATCCAAACACATTTTTATCTTAAAATGTGTCTCCATCTTTTTGCCCATGTCTTTAGAGTTTTAACATCCTTTAGAAGGACCAGGATTTAAAGGTTATTCATCGAGTGTTGTTTAGACTACATACAGGTACATACGTGACTGTCTTTCTTTTGTATCTCTGATTGAATGGGACTTGATCTCCGTATGCAGAATGAGGTAGAGAACAGTAAACTATTAGTTAGAAAAAGACAGATAATGGCAGGGGGGAGGGAGCAAATTTCCTAGTGGTTTAAAAAAAATCTCTACTCTAAACCTTCCCTTGGAATTATCCATATAATTGCCTCTCTTCCACATTTCATTTTCAGTGCAAGTGTAGAAACATTTGCTGAGAGAACCAGAGGGAAAGAGGGGCAAGAGAGAAGAGGGAAAGGAAGAGAGGAAGGTGGAGGTGGAAGAAAAAGGAGAGGAAGGGTAGAGAGAGAAGGAGCAAAAAAAAAGAGGAAAAGGGGGGAGAGAAAAGGAGAGAAAAGGGGGGGAGAAGTGGAAAAGGAAAAAGAAAAGAGAGGGAGAATTGAGAAAGAGAAGATGCAACGAAAGAAAAGGGGGAAGAGACAGAAGGAAAGTGGAAATGCTGGGCTCCCGGATGTACTTGAGAAAGATCCTACTGACAAATACTTCAGTTTTGAGTAACCAAGGTCCTGATGCCACTAAGAATGTGGGAACAGGGGCAAAACACGCCCAGAGTCAGACATGTGGCCAAGGCTATACTATGTTTTGGTGAACTGAGAATGTTGGGGATGTGGGATGGGGGTGCACAAAGATATGAACAGTTTTTGTCTTTAGCACTGAGTCCAACAAAGACTGAGAATTTTCTGTCTTCATTTGATCCGCAAACCTAATAGTTCAAGCTGCCAAGTGGAATTTGGAGGAGGGCATGAATACTTCGAATTAGCTGGAGCACCACCAGGTTTGCTGTCTTTCTGCTCTGTGCTGAGGAGACACAACTCTGGGTCTTCCGTGCCAGAAGTCCCCCATCTCTCCATTTGCACACTCATCCTCATTTCTAAACAGCTGAGTTGAAGTGAAGAAGGGCCTTTTACAGGAAGCGGGAAAATGGGTTGTTTTCTATGGAGACCAAAGCAACTCATTTGCATTTAGGGGGAAAAAACCCACCTCCATCAAACTGGTTCTTTAGCAACATATATACAAAGCAATAGGTCATGTTCCTGTTATATACTCTCTGAAAGTATAGCTATAACATATAAAGGGGTGTCCGCTCCAAGCTAAGTAGAATGTTTGTTGCAATTATTTGAGAGTAATTATTTAGCTAGTTTACACACATAAACTACTCCCCTTCCTCAACACACCAATGCATAGATAAGTTCTATGCCTGTTTCTGTGATCATAGAGACGATGATACTAATGTTGCTAGTCTGAAAGTGGGGATGATTATTCAATGGGGGGAAAATCATTAAATTCAGCAAGCCAGCAGATCCAAGGAGAAAAAGATGTCGAATGCATGTTTTCCTGGTTGTCCAGCAATTGTGCTGGGATTGGAGTTGTGCAGACAGCGAAGTCATGGCCATTTGGTATTCTGCTCTTCACTTTCCACTCCCGCTCTTTCCTTTCCAGAGATTATTTTTTCTTTAATAATTTGGATGGTTAACTCACAGTAGCCACGTAGTCCCTGTAATACCCAGGGCCTAAATGATTTCAGATGAGGGTTTGTGGGACTGGGAACCTGCCAGAGTGTAGTGGGTGAGAAGAGCAGCGAGGGCCTGCTCTCCTGTGGACCTTTTCATGTCCTGTTCTCCCTGGCAGAAGATTGCCTACATTCCTGAGATGTATCTGCACTGGCAGTAGAGAGAGTGGAGGTACCTTCCCTTCCCGATCAATCCATTTCACAATACAATTTGTCCTGAAATATTCACAAAATTAAATTCAAAAATTGGGGGGGGAATTTGTGGGGGGGATGTTTTTAATTATTTGGGAGGGAAGGATTAGAAGATCTGAATGATTGCCCCAATTTTCCATTTCTCTTAGGAAGGTCTAGGAGGCTTATTGAGGAGATGGGGGGTAGGGAGGAAGGAAGAACTTACTTTTCTTCCTTGATCTGGTTTTGTGAGCCTGAAGAAAGAGAATATTGGGGGAGTGAAAAGGGATGTGTGTGTGTGTGTGTGTGTGTGTGTGTGTGTGTGTGTGTAAGACACAGAGTCTTCCAGACTCAGGGAGAAGATATTGAACTGGGGTGCCTATAAAGAAGTCAGCACCTCTTTAATTGTCTGTGGGGAGTTAGAAGCAAAGTTTCCATCTTTAAGAAGGGGAAAGGAGAAGCAAGAAGTGAAGAAAGAGTTGTTCTCTCTGTCTTACCCAGCAGGGTGGGGTAGGGGGCTTCTTCTGACTCACCCAACAACAGGAAAGCCATTGAAGACACATGGTGAGCAGGAAGAGTGTGCCTGTGCCTGGGGAAACCTTCCACTCAAAGAAGGCCACCCATGAGATACCACAGTTGGGACTTTCTTACCTAAGAGCAGTTTGTGGACCATCATTTATGGGGGTGATTGTATCCCCCTTCAAGGGTTTGCTTTGTTTCTCTCACTAACTGTACCTGTTTCAATAAGAAATACCCAAGAACAGAAGGAGAGTGCAAAAGGGAATTCCCCCCATCATTGTGTCAGGGTTTCCTGGCAGGAGGAGGGAGGCCAAGTCTAGAAGGGGCAATGCAATAATGGTGTTTCTCCTTTCTCCTCCTCACCTTTGTACCTTTCCCTTTGTCCTCCTTTCCCTACGTAAAATCAAAGAAAACATCATCAAGACTTCTCAAGAATGAGGCAAAAATGTGCCAGGTTTGGGGAATGAATTATCTAGCTACTGAAGATAAATTCATTATTTAAAACACATAATGAAAGCCAAGGTGAATTGGGGGCTGGTGTTTGAATTATTCAGATAATTGAGGTGCATTGGGCTAGGAAAGAGCCCAGATTACTGGGCTTGGATCACTGAAACCCAAATTAGGGAAGGGGAAGGCCCTGCTGAATCATTGAGGGAGTTACATCTTTGGAGGGGCTTTATTCCAATCCTCAAGTTCCTGCCTCCTATACCTCACCCACTTCCTACCTGGGAGGAGGTGGGCCCTGGGTGTTGGCTTCAGCTTACAGATTCTCTCCCGTGTTTCTCCCCAGACGTAGTCCCCCTGCAGCCTGAGGTCAGCAGCTACCGAAGGGGCCGAAAGAAGCGAGTGCCCTACACCAAGGTTCAGCTGAAGGAACTCGAGAAGGAGTATGCGGCCAGCAAGTTCATTACCAAAGAGAAGAGGCGGCGGATCTCAGCCACCACCAACCTCTCAGAACGCCAGGTCACCATCTGGTTCCAAAACCGTCGAGTCAAAGAGAAGAAGGTGGTCAGCAAAGCTAAGGCACCCCATCTCCACTCTACCTGACCTTGGAGCCCTGAGCCACACCCCCCCCCCCGTGCCTCCCCACCTATTTATATCCCACTTTGTACCATAAAAGAAGCTCACCGATGGACACTTCGCCGGTGAATCAATTATTTAATATTAATACTAATAAATAATATTAATGTGGAGAAAGAGGGGAAAGAGGGAAGGAAAAAAGGAAGGAAGGAAGAAAGGAAAGACCTTGGTAGCGGGTGTGCAGAGGGGATACACACATCCCTCTTACCCCACCACACTACTGTTCCAGGTGGAAAGTAGAGCTTTGGATCCAGAAATATTTAGTCTCATATTAGGGCTGGATTCCAGTCATTGGCTGGGAAACAGTTTAGGTATAATCTTCAGGAAGGAGGTCGAGCCTCCATCGTCCTCCTCCTCACCATATCTTCCTTCCCAGCCACTCACACATTGACCCTCACTTCCAGACCCCAGTCAAAGATGTGGAAGGTAGAGATGAAATTTAGTATCATTCCAGTAGAACATGGATTTTTGACTCTGCCCCCAGTATTGCTGGGAACAATATAAACTCCCCCCTAACGAAGGCTTGTGGGGTAGGATGTAGAGGGATAACTTTTCCTTCTCAGATCTTCGCCACTTCCTGTTGGGCAGTTGTTTAGAAAGGTATCCCAATAAGTTGTGTGTATATTTTAAAAGTCACATTAATATTAATAATAACTATGTTTTGGCCTGGGAGTTAGGGGGAGTCCAAGACCCAGTGCCTGGAACTGCCTTTTGTATCTCTGTAGTATATTGTTCCTTCCCAAGTTTCAATCCCCACCCCTTGTGGCCTGGTCCTGCTTCTGTGGCTCCCCCAAAAGTCCTAATCAGGAGTACCTTCAGATGTCAAGGCCCCAGTCCTGGATCACCCCAGAAAGCTCTTGTCCTGAGCCTGTGTTGGGCTGTACCCACCACATCTCTCCTCACTCTGCTAGAAGTCCAAGAAAGACATAAAGATAACCAAGCTGCTAACATGTTTGTTTCTTACTGAAAATGAGGAGGGAGCTAGGAATCCATTTTATTTTAAGGGAAAAAACCCCACAAATTTCACTTAAAAGTGAACAGGAGAGAATCTCACACACCAGAAGTTTCCTTTCCTCTTCCCCTAGTCCTCAGGCTGCTTCCACACCAAGAGAACCATTTCTGATCCAAATCATTTTAGTCCCCAACACTTTACTTGACCTCCTCCAGGATCCAGATTCTTCAAGCAAAATCAGTTTTCTTGGAGGGGGCCTGAGCTAATCCCGCTTTCTGGGGCAAAGTAGATATGTCTTAATAGTTCCTTCCATGATGATCAGCTCTGGGCTATTGGGGCTCCAGGCTTTTTCCCAGTTCTCTCCCAACCTCCACTAGCACCTCACAAAACAGTGTTCTTTGGAAAATGTCACTCTAAAATTTCTTTCTTTCTCTCTCTCTCTCTCTCTCTCTCTCTCTCTCTCTCTTCTCTCTCTCTCTCTCTCTCTCTTTTTAATGTCTTGTATCTGTATATAGTATCGTGGTGTCCAAATGACAATGACAATGTACTGAATGCAAAAAGAAAAAAATAACAACAAACCTGTTTTTGAAATAAAATATCTTTTTTTTTTTTTGGCCTTGACCTCATTTCTCAGATTCCTTAAAAATCCTGTCCTGTCTCACTGATGCCTTTGAGGGCTCTCCCCCATCACTGCAATATCTACACAGTACAAATGCAGAGGAATTGGCTTCACTGGAACCCAATTGGCAGAGCATCTGACTGAATAGGACCTAAATCTGCATTTTCTTTCTGAGGAATAATCTGGGTTAGTTGTGACTATGTAGACACGGCCTCTGAGATTAGAAATGGGAAAGTAGAGCAGGGAAAAGATATTATGGTGACATGATACGTATTGAATCCGGCTTCAGTACAATATAATGGCTTTGTGAGATGGAAAAAAAAGCCCAAGGAACTTAGATGGTCAAACGAGTGTAAAGCGCATTTTGCTTTGGATGTACACAGGGAAACTAAACCAGTGTGGATAGAGTCCCTCTCCAGGGTGAGGGAGAAGTTTCATACAGGATTCTGGTTGTCAGATGGCAATCAGAGACAACTGAGGCCTTGAAGTATTTCTGCTACCGCCATCTCTACAACCTGTTTTCTCTTTCAATTGACTCTAGCTCCAAGGAGGGTAGGGAGGGAGCCAGTGTCTGGTTCACAAACGGAGCTGGAGGCTACAAGTGCAGAGAACAGAGACTCCCCCTGGATATAGCAGAGATCCTCTTATCCACTCCCACACCCCCAGAACCAAGTGGAACCAACAGCAGCGAAAGGACCTTTCAGAACCCACCCACTGGACTCCTTCACAACCGAAAGACTGGTTCGATCCGTCCCATTTTTTCTGTAGTATCTTGGGGTGGGGTAGGGGGATCTGGGGACCAAACATCTGAATCAGCCCACTACTCTTTGCCTGTGTAGACGTGGCCGCTAATTTGTTTCTCTGGTCTCGTTCAGTTCCTATCTCCTTATCTGGCAGAGTTAATGAGATCGTTAAGTTGTCAGGTTAAGAGACTTTTAAAAAGCAATATAGCCTAAAACAATGTTATCTCAGATTAAATCTTTATTGCGGCAATTTCTATTTATATATAATATTTTCTTTTCTCCTGAGACGCAGAAAGACCCGAGGCAACGGGTTGGAAATCGGAGAAGTTTTCTTGACTCCGCATTGATTGCCTTCATTGCCAGGTGTCTCAAACCTTTTCCAATTCCATTTAAATAAACATGTCCCTCGGGTAGCAAGATTCTTCCTTTTCCCCCACCCCCAAATCGGAGATCCCAAGACCAACAGGATTATTTCTCTCCTCTTTCCCTCCAATATGTTCCCTTTCCCCCACCCCTACTCAGTCGGCGTTGTTTAAATAGTCTCAACTTTTCGGGGGATTCGGAGTGGGTGACTAGCTCCTTGTGCCTAAATGGGCTGAGAAATCGCAGCGCTGGAAACCCGTTCCCCCCGGAAGGGAAATTATCCCTAATACATTGTGTTCCTCAGCCTTCCCCTCCCTCCAGAAACCACTTTGTTCTACTTTGAAGATGGAGATGGTTGAGGGGAAGGAGCAACTTTGGAGAGCTGAAGAGAGAGAGAGGCTTGTGAGGTCTTGAGCCCTGGAAGAGGGCATTCAATGAGGCTCCCCAATACTCCTAAGAAGCCTCTCATTTTCTTTATCAAGAAAGGTACTAAAGACTGAGTAGATTGGTTTGTGAAAGGATAGAACAGCAAACCAGCAAATCGTGAATCTGTGGAAAGTTCCTGTAGAGGGGCCGTCTCTCCATCAAATACAATCATACGCAGGGCCCTTCTTCGGCCCCTGCAGAGGGATGGGGGGGGGAAACACAAAGTTGAGACTTTTAGTTTGGAAGAGACAGGCTGGTTCTTTGGTGTTTTGTAGATATTCAGAGGGGCTGCATTCCCTCCTTCCAAAAGTTGTATTAGTATGAATGTTATAGAAAGGGAGGTGGGGAAAGGGGAGGACAGTCCTGTTGGGCTCCTAAATTGGGTGATTTTGCACCATACCTCTCCTCCCAAGAGGTGCTTTGGATGACTTAAGAAGGAGATGTGTGAATGTGTGTATGACTGAAAGACAGACAAACAGGTTAACACACGTAGGGACTGGTGTTGTGTAGAAAGATACGTTTGTTTGGATCTGTGTGGTGTGAGAGGAACTAGAAAAACACTTTTGCTTCGTTGATAACTTGTCTTAGCGGCCTCTCCTACAACAACAAGAGTATGTGTATAGCTTTATTTTTGATAATTTACTTATTTCTAAGTGTGAATTCATATAAATGGTCTTACGTGCCTAAGAGGAGGTGTGTATTACTAAACCATTATTCTTTCTTAATTTGTTTCACACCTGAGTGTCATATGGACATGTAAGTATATTGGATGAACATATGTGTTACTGGAGTGAATGTATGAATGAACTTTATGTTTCTTCTAAATTACATCCACTAGTGCATTTCCCTCTCTCAGGTAGTCCCCAAATTTGTGCTACAGCCTTTGTGTGTGACTGTGTGGCTATATAGGAGTGAATATTTGGTGTAAGTGTGCCTGAGAGTCTATGGAAGGTGTGGCTGTGAACATGTGAAGTAAAGAAGATTGTATATGAAAGAACGTAATGTGTGTAGCCACATAAAAATGTCAAGGCAGGGGAAATTCTTCTTTCCAGGAAACTGGGATCCTACTCATCCCCTTTTTGGAAAATCCTAACTCTTAAAAATTTCAGATGCCTTCAATTTTGGCCTCTAAACCTTGCTCTCCCCATTTCTGAGAGCCTTTATCCTCTATGGTTGCCCTCCTACAGAATGATCCCAGGACAGGGAAAGGGGCATTCCTGGAAAAGTTGGGCATCCCTCACTCCACCGCAGGATGCGGGATTTAGGGCAGAGTACACAGAGATCTCCTGCAAAGGGAAATATGCGCACACACCTTGAGCCGATAGAGTCCACGACATTTTCCATGAATATGTCCCCTTTCTCCTCCACCCCACTCTCTTCGGTGGCCATCTTGTTGATCTATTGCTGCTAAAGGCAGGTTCTTAGGTGAGGAAGGAAGACACCAGTGCCCATGCAGTTCAAAAGGAGCATAGCCTGTGTCCGAGGCTCACGATTATCTTCCTAACCTTTCCCTGTTTATTGGGCTGTCCTATCTGCCCAGGGGTCAGGTCCTGTGTGGAATTCATTCCTAAGCTCTGTGAGAGAGGAAGTGGAGGAGAGAAAGGCGACAGACCCCCAATATTACTGTCCAGGACCCCACACCCCACCCCCCTGGTTTAGCACTGAACTCCTCCCCGTCCCCTCACCACAAATAACAAAGTTCAGACAGATGTGTCCGTTGACCACAATATCTGGGCGCTTGGAGGGAGGATTGGGGGCTTCAGAGGCAAAGGAGCTGATGAGAGGGGGGAGTAACGGGGGGAGAGCACCGGCAACCAACCAGGTCTCTTCCTTTTTTAGCCTTGACCGTGACTAGGTCTTTCTG